GCTTGCCTGAGATGATGTACCAGGATGTTCAATAATTGGTGCCACTGCAGTAGGACACGCGCTATGTCTTCGAGGAATGACCTCTAGCGATGTTGATCGTGGAGATGGAACCACGTGATGAGCATAATCTTGTTTAGAAGCTGCAAAGGGAAACACAAGTTCATCAAATTTAACATGTCTACTAATAAATATACGACCATTGTCTCCAAGACATTGAAGACCTCGATACTGAGTGCTATAGCCCAGAAATATACACTCTTGAGATTGAGGCATCAGTTTATGGGGTTAAAATTCTCGCATATATAGAAAACATCTACAACCAAAGACTCGTATGGTTGTGTAATCGAGTTTCTTGTTAAATAGTTTCTCAAAAGGGGAAAGATTTTTCAGCACCTTAGATGGTAGTTGATTTACCAAGTATGTTGTTGTGGTTATAACATAGGACCAGAACTTGATCAAAAGGGACGCTTGTGCCAGCAACATAAGTTCCAACTCAATGAGGTGTCTATGCTTACGCTCAACGACTCCGTTTTGCTCGGATGAGTGAGGACATGTGACTCTATGCAAAACTCCTGCATGAGCTAACTCAGTTATCCAGTTTCTATATTCACCACCCCAATCGCTTTGTACAGCCTTGATTAGCAGTGAGAATTGAGTCTCAACCATGCTCTTGAAAAATCTAAAGGAAATTATAGCCTGTGACTTATTCTTCAATAAGTAGACCTACGTATGTCTGGTACACGCATCTACAAATGAGATGTAATACCGAAAACCAGTTGAGGGCTCAGGCGAGGGCCCCCAAAGATCTATGAAAATGAGTTAAAATGGTTCATCATATACTGTGGTTGAGTCAACAAAAGGCAGCTTGTGGCTTTCACCCAAACAGCAAGCAACACACAACTGATTTTCATTATTTGGAATATCAATAGCAATGGAATTACAAACCAATTTCAAAGTTGAAAAGGTTGGATGACCTAATATCCTATGCCAAAGCTCAAATGAGTTACAATTATGAACTGTATAAGCCTTATCATTATTACAAGCATTCAATTGATTATCCAAGGTAAAGGTATAAAGTCCCCCTTTCTGTCTTCCACGAAGAAGAACATTACTTGTTGCTTCATCTCGAACACAACATGTATCAGCATGAAACTCGAAGAAGATGTGATTATCCTTAGCAAGCTTTGACATTGAGAGAATGTGTTTAGTGATTTTAGGAACATGTAACATATCAGTAAGTAGCAAGGTTTGGGAAGAATACCTTAAAATAGATCGTCCTATTGATTGAACATTAAGAGAGGAACCATTTCCAAACATGAGATTACCTGGTCCATCAAGATCAGTGGGAAGGGAGATGTGAGCAGCATCAGGAGTGACATGATGTGTCACCCCCGAGTCCATGATCCACTGAGCATGGAATGATTTAACACTTGTAGGAATAGCAGCAGCACCCTATGTAGCCACGGAACTAGCCCCAGACTTATTAGCACAGCACGTACAAGCAACACTATCAAGATTAACATAGTTGACGCTGATCGAATCTCTCTGCAAAGTCACGGTCAAACCTGTACCATCATCGATCAACTGAGTGGCCAACCTTACCACATAACTGACATTGCAGTCGAGCACGACCCCTACAACCAGCTTGACCACCATGCATTGTTGTGGGCTGCTGTTTGAATTCATTAGTGGTGTCAGAACCGGTAGATCTACCATGGATTTATCCGTAAACGACATTAGCACTCATAGGGAGACTCTCAGCCTGCGAATCGAAGCCAGCTAGTTGTGTCTCTCCATCAACTAGCATAAAATAGACTCGATCGAGTGACAATATGTCAGGACTCGATGTTATAACAGCCATAAAGGATTGGTATTCTCTTGGCAACCCTTTCAGAATACTAACCACATGCTCTACTTGTGAAATCGAGCTGCCACATGATGCAAGTGCATCACAGATTTCTTTGATCCGAGTGAGGTACACACGCATGGAGTCATCACTCTTCCTTAGTGATTGTAGCTTATAATGCAAGTTCATCACTGTATTTGTGGATTTGTTAACAAAAAACTGAATAACTGTACTCCATACAGCTGCAGCAGTCTCAGCTCCAACGAATTGTGGCAGGAGAGGAGCACTAATCGTCGATAAAAGCCACGAGGCGAGAGCACTATCCTGTGCCATGTAGTCCTCAAACGCCTCATTAACAACCAACATACCTTCAGCATTGACAATAAACTCAGGTGGAATAGGCATCGTGCCATTGAGAAGCTGCTCCAGACAATGACTGCGCACCGTAAGCAGAACATACTGCCTCCACAGCAAGTAATTCGTCTCGTCTAGCACCACATTAACCTTTTTATTTGTAAACATGATGCTCAACAACAATAAGAGATTAAGAAACAAAAAGCATTGGAACCCCAGGACTTTTAGCAAAAGATACCATGTTAAGAAATGAAAGTTAACTCAGAAAACAATTACTGTAATTCTATTAATGAACCAATGCAAATGTACATGATTTATATAGCATTTGGTTGCTGAGCTAGGAAGTAACCTGCTTAACAGAATTTGATAATTATAACCTTGTAACAACACCCTAACAGCCTATGGATTTGATTGCCTGCAACACAGTGTACAACACCAACTATGAGCTTAACTTCAAGCTTCTTGAATCTTCTCCATGCACCATACATTATGCCTGTAGCTCGATCATTCTTCCAACAGTTTAGGACTTTCCATGCATCAGAAATCATATCCATAACATGTTGCCTAGCGCTTTCGATCTTGATCCCTTGGTGTTCTTTCATGTAGCAATCGATGTAGGATCCATCGTGCCCGTCTTGGTTCTCATCCTAAAATCAATAATATATGTTAAGGTTTATATTTGATGCACTGATAGCGAATCACGAGACCTTACGTTGAAGAATGTATACCTTGGCACTTCCTAAATCATCCTAGAGGTGAAGTATTGCACCAGTGGTGGAGAAGATTGATGGAATGTTGTCGATCATTTGGACTTCTCGATCAGTCGAGCCGAGGCCAATGAGGAAGAATATGTGAACCAAAACTATATGTACACCGGAGCTAATGATTCCATTCTCCAAATACTCCTTAGTCGTTGGGGACTTCCCTGAACCAAACCATCTTGCTTCTACCAAAAACGCTTGGAACAAGATTTTCCACTGCAATAATCAACACACATCAGTTCCTGATCATTAATGAATCGAACATCGATGATTATAAAGGAAAATTATGTACCGCCTTCCTTAAAGAGTCGATTTTGGCTATTTCTTGGAAACGTGAGCTATTTCTTTCTGATGCATCTTACTTGGAAACATGAGCTATTTCTTTCTGATGCAAGGACTGAACTAGATTGAAATCCATTTTGGCTACATCTTGGAGGATGTTTAACCATACTTTTGTGGCTTTTAAATCACTGGTTAGCAACTTTCTAGCTTTCAATCTCGGCAGGCTTTTATGAAAAGGTTGGTCCAGTGTATTAGAAATATAGTCCCCCTTTGCATTTTGCCATTTTCTCAGGTTCTTGGAGCTAAATTCTTTGGCTTCATCAAGAATATCTTCACCTTCCATTTCCAGTTGTGAAGCTTCATATAATTCGATCAATCCCTTGATGTCCTGCAGAGTTCATGTCTGAAACTTCCTTCCTTGTCTTTGAGCCTGTTGAACACTCCTGTTTTTATAGCACAAACCATTTCCATTATCAGTTCATTAACTAAAAACAGGAATAAAGAAAACATATTGGTCTAATTTTCACACCTGCCGGAACAAAGTAGCCTTCCTGTCTGAGCAATCGGAACCGAAGGGAAGCTTCATGAAGGTCGGAGTTATGAAAATACTTATGATCTCCCGATAGCATATACTCCCTTTGGAGAACTTGTTAAACATACATTGGATGGAATTTTTTAATTTTATTAGCTTAATTTAATATATAAAATTATTAATAATTAAATATGTAATATTATTATATGTAAAAAAATGTAATCGGGTATTCAGGTAATCGGGTACCCAGAAAAATGTAATTTTGTGATCCGGACCTGACCTGAGAAATGTTGGGTCGGATACATGGCCCGGACGGGTAATTTTTTAGATAATTACCTATTTTTTTTAGTTCTGATCGTCAGATTGGGTCAATCGAGTCGAATATTTTTTAACACCTCTAATTGCGATAGCATGTTTATGCTTATAAAATTCATGAAGTATAATATATAATAGATGTATAAGGAATGAGTTAAGATAAAATGTTAAGGGCTAAAATTGTTCTATATCAAAAGAATAAGAATCTATTTATTTATATTTAAAATTTAGGAGGGATAAAAAACCTTATTTTATTAAGGCTTAAGGGTCATCTTTGTCCCTGTAGTAGACTCAATTCATCATTTTCGCCCCTATCATATTTTCATATCAATTTAACTCTTAAAGTTGTTTAATTGCATCATTTTGTACTCTTCCCCTAACTTAAAACCTTAAATTATAAACCCTAAGTTAGTGTTTAGGGGTTAGGATTTAGAGATAATATGGTTATGGTTTAGGGTTTTAAGTTAGGGTAGGGTATAGAATGATGTAATTGAGCAACTTCAAAGACTAAATTGATGCGAAAATACGACATGGACGAAAGTGATAAATTGGACCTACTACAGGAGCAAAAGTTACCCTTTTGCCTTAAATTAAAAAGAACCTAAAATGTAATTATGTTTGTCCCTGTAGATGTGTTCCACTAAGTTTTATAAAATGAAACATTCAAAATTATTTTTTTAGTACACATATTGTTAGATTTTGATTCAAGTCAAGATAATATTATCAAGGAATTCTGAACGTAATTATTTCAAAATACAATACTTTATCATGAACACGTTTAGAACAATTGATCACATATAAACTAGTACAAGAACATAATTAACTTTCATCATACAGAAACGTTGTACACATGAAATCATCTAATATTGGAACTGCTGAATTTTGTTTAAATTTTAGATGAGAGAATAGTTCACATAGGTATACTTTGATAGAGTAGGGACTTCATGTACTCGTCCAAGCTTGGAAGATGTTGGTTTTCGTCGTAACAATACATCAAAGGAACCATCCTTGCAATATTCAGGGAAGCCTTGCAGAAGGGCATGGAAAATGATTCTCGGGAAAGACATTGTCGGTTTAGGACTTTCCATGCATCGGAAATCATATCCATAACATGTTGCCTAGCGCTTTCGATCTTGATCCCTTGGTGTTCTTTCATGTAGCAATCGATGTAGGATCCATCGTGCCCGTCTTGGTTCTCATCCTAAAATCAATAATATATGTTAAGGTTTATATTTGATGCACTGATAGCGAATCACGAGACCTTACGTTGAAGAATGTATACCTTGGCACTTCCTAAATCATCCCAGAGGCGAAGTATTGCACCAGTGGTGGAGATGATTGATGGATTGTCGATCATTTCGACTTCTCGAACAGTTGAGCCGAGGCCAAGGAGGAAGAAGATGTGAACCAAAACTATATGTACACCGGAGCTAATGATTCCATTCTCCAAATACTCCTTAGTCGTTGGGGACTTCCCTGAACCAAACCATCTTGCTTCTACCAAAAACGCTTGGAACAAGATTTTCCACTGCAATAATCAACACACATCAGTTCCTGATCATTAATGAATCGAACATCGATGATTATAAAGGAAAATTATGTACCGCCTTCCTTAAAGAGTCGATTTTGGCTATTTCTTGGAAACGTGAGCTATTTCTTTCTGATGCATCTTACTTGGAAACATGAGCTATTTCTTTCTGATGCAAGGACTGAACTAGATTGAAATCCATTTTGGCTACATCTTGGAGGATGTTTAACCATACTTTTGTGGCTTTTAAATCACTGGTTAGCAACTTTCTAGCTTTCAATCTCGGCAGGCTTTTATGAAAAGGTTGGTCCAGTGTATTAGAAATATAGTCCCCCTTTGCATTTTGCCATTTTCTCAGGTTCTTGGAGCTAAATTCTTTGGCTTCATCAAGAATATCTTCACCTTCCATTTCCAGTTGTGAAGCTTCGTATAATTCGATCAATCCCTTGATGTCCTGCAGAGTTCATGTCTGAAACTTCCTTCCTTGTCTTTGAGCCTGTTGAACACTCCTGTTTTATAGCACAAACCATTTCCATTATCAGTTCATTAACTAAAAACAGGAATAAAGAAAACATATTGGTCTAATTTTCACACCTGCCGGAACAAAGTAGCCTTCCTGTCTGAGCAATAGGAACCGAAGGGAAGCTTCATGAAGGTCGGAGTTATGAAAATACTTATGATCTCCCGATAGCATATACTCCCTTTGGAGAACTTGTTAAACATACATTGGATGGAATTTTTTAATTTTATTAGCTTAATTTAATATATAAAATTATTAATAATTAAATATGTAATATTATTATATGTAAAAAAATGTAATCGGGTATTCAGGTAATCGGGTACCCAGAAAAATGTAATTTTGTGATCCGGACCTGACCTGAGAAATGTTGGGTCGGATACATGGCCCGGGACGGGTAATTTTTTAGATAATTACCTATTTTTTTTAGTTCTGATCGTCAGATTGGGTCAATCGAGTCGAATATTTTTTAACACCTCTAATTGCGATAGCATGTTTATGCTTATAAAATTCATGAAGTATAATATATAATAGATGTATAAGGAATGAGTTAAGATAAAATGTTAAGGGCTAAAATTGTTCTATATCAAAAGAATAAGAATCTATTTATTTATATTTAAAATTTAGGAGGGATAAAAAACCTTATTTTATTAAGGCTTAAGGGTCATCTTTGTCCCTGTAGTAGACTCAATTCATCATTTTCGCCCCTATCATATTTTCATATCAATTTAACTCTTAAAGTTGTTTAATTGCATCATTTTGTACTCTTCCCCTAACTTAAAACCTTAAATTATAAACCCTAAGTTAGTGTTTAGGGGTTAGGATTTAGAGATAATATGGTTATGGTTTAGGGTTTTAAGTTAGGGTAGGGTATAGAATGATGTAATTGAGCAACTTCAAAGACTAAATTGATGCGAAAATACGACATGGACGAAAGTGATAAATTGGACCTACTACAGGAGCAAAAGTTACCCTTTTGCCTTAAATTAAAAAGAACCTAAAATGTAATTATGTTTGTCCCTGTAGATGTGTTCCACTAAGTTTTATAAAATGAAACATTCAAAATTATTTTTTTAGTACACATATTGTTAGATTTTGATTCAAGTCAAGATAATATTATCAAGGAATTCTGAACGTAATTATTTCAAAATACAATCCTTTATCATGAACACGTTTAGAACAATTGATCACATATAAACTAGTACAAGAACATAATTAACTTTCATCATACAGAAACGTTGTACACATGAAATCATCTAATATTGGAACTGCTGAATTTTGTTTAAATTTTAGATGAGAGAATAGTTCACATAGGTATACTTTGATAGAGTAGGGACTTCATGTACTCGTCCAAGCTTGGAAGATGTTGGTTTTCGTCGTAACAATACATCAAAGGAACCATCCTTGCAATATTCAGGGAAGCCTTGCAGAAGGGCATGGAAAATGATTCTCGGGGAAAGACATTGTCGGTTTAGGACTTTCCATGCATCGGAAATCATATCCATAACATGTTGCCTAGCGCTTTCGATCTTGATCCCTTGGTGTTCTTTCATGTAGCAATCGACGTAGGATCCATCGTTCCCGTCTTGGTTCTCATCCTACAATCAATAATATATGTTAAGGTTTATATTTGATGCATTGATAGTGAATCACAAGACCTTACGTTGAAGAATGTATACCTTGGCACTTCCTAAATCATCCCAGAGGCGAAGTATTGCACCAGTGGTGGAGATGATTGATGGATTGTCGATCATTTCGACTTCTCGAACAGTTGAGCCGAGGCCAAGGAGGAAGAAGATGTGAACCAAAACTATATGTACACCGGAGCTAATGATTCCATTCTCCAAATACTCCTTAGCCGTTGGGGACTTCCCTGAACCAAACCATCTTGCTTCTACCAAAAATGCTTGGAACAAGATTTTCCACTGCAATAATCAACACACATCAGTTCCTGTTCATTAATGAATCGAATGCCGATGATTATAAAGGAAAAATACGTACCGCCTTCCTTAACGAGTCGATAGGATTGCGACCATATTTCTTGTGCACCTTTTGGCAAATTTCATTGGTGATATCATCGAGAGCTTTGAGGCATAGTTTGATGTAATCCGGCAGCCCACCACTTGCACCACAATCCCACCTGCATTAATTTATCTTATCCTTTACTTCTTCCATCTTAGGAAAACTAGTATACCTTCGTTTATGAATCAAATATATATATATATATATATATATATATTCTTGTTCGAAGTATCTTATGAATATGTGGATGTGAATGAAGTGAAACACACTCGAAGAATCTTATGAATATCTTTTGTTTTTTTTTCGTTTAGGAAAACTATTAATGGAGTACGAAAATAGAAAAAAAGGAGACAATGGGTGGTCCACATTGTATTACCTCTCCACAGCTTGCACGAAGAGAGTGAGTTCGTCAAGTGACCCGTAAACATCAAAAACGTCATCTATTACATAGATTAAGGAAATGGCCTTTGTGAGATCAATCCTTTTCTCAGACAAGGTTGGATCAGTGAGGCAAGCCATGGACCAAATGTACCATTTCATCGGTTGGTCTCTTGTAAACCTCAATTCCTTTGCTAAACCCAGCTGCTTCCACCAACTTAACACATTAAAGAAAAGAGAATTTGAGTTTGGGATTGGGATTGTTTTGTGTAATATATATGTTTGATGAATCTTACTTGGAAACGTGAGCTATTTCTTTCTGATGCAAGGACTGAACTAGATTGAAATCCATTTTGGCTACATCTTGGAGGATGTTTAACCATACTTTTGTGGCTTTTAAATCACTGGTTAGCAACTTTCTAGCTTTCAATCTCGGCAGGCTTTTATGAAAAGGTTGGTCCAGTGTATTAGAAATATAGTCCCCCTTTGCATTTTGCCATTTTCTCAGGTTCTTGGAGCTAAATTCTTTGGCTTCATCAAGAATATCTTCACCTTCCATTTCCAGTTGTGAAGCTTCGTATAATTCGATCAATCCCTTGATGTCCTGCAGAGTTCATGTCTGAAACTTCCTTCCTTGTCTTTGAGCCTGTTGAACACTCCTGTTTTATAGCACAAACCATTTCCATTATCAGTTCATTAACTAAAAACAGGAATAAAGAAAACATATTGGTCTAATTTTCACACCTGCCGGAACAAAGTAGCCTTCCTGTCTGAGCAATAGGAACCGAAGGGAAGCTTCATGAAGGTCGGAGTTATGAAAATACTTATGATCTCCCGATAGCATATACTCCCTTTGGAGAACTTGTTAAACATACATTGGATGGAATTTTTTAATTTTATTAGCTTAATTTAATATATAAAATTATTAATAATTAAATATGTAATATTATTATATGTAAAAAAATGTAATCGGGTATTCAGGTAATCGGGTACCCAGAAAAATGTAATTTTGTGATCCGGACCTGACCTGAGAAATGTTGGGTCGGATACATGGCCCGGACGGGTAATTTTTTAGATAATTACCTATTTTTTTTAGTTCTGATCGTCAGATTGGGTCAATCGAGTCGAATATTTTTTAACACCTCTAATTGCGATAGCATGTTTATGCTTATAAAATTCATGAAGTATAATATATAATAGATGTATAAGGAATGAGTTAAGATAAAATGTTAAGGGCTAAAATTGTTCTATATCAAAAGAATAAGAATCTATTTATTTATATTTAAAATTTAGGAGGGATAAAAAACCTTATTTTATTAAGGCTTAAGGGTCATCTTTGTCCCTGTAGTAGACTCAATTCATCATTTTCGCCCCTATCATATTTTCATATCAATTTAACTCTTAAAGTTGTTTAATTGCATCATTTTGTACTCTTCCCCTAACTTAAAACCTTAAATTATAAACCCTAAGTTAGTGTTTAGGGGTTAGGATTTAGAGATAATATGGTTATGGTTTAGGGTTTTAAGTTAGGGTAGGGTATAGAATGATGTAATTGAGCAACTTCAAAGACTAAATTGATGCGAAAATACGACATGGACGAAAGTGATAAATTGGACCTACTACAGGAGCAAAAGTTACCCTTTTGCCTTAAATTAAAAAGAACCTAAAATGTAATTATGTTTGTCCCTGTAGATGTGTTCCACTAAGTTTTATAAAATGAAACATTCAAAATTATTTTTTTAGTACACATATTGTTAGATTTTGATTCAAGTCAAGATAATATTATCAAGGAATTCTGAACGTAATTATTTCAAAATACAATACTTTATCATGAATACGTTTAGAACAATTGATCACATATAAACTAGTACAAGAACATAATTAACTTTCATCATACAGAAACGTTGTACACATGAAATCATCTAATATTGGAACTGCTGAATTTTGTTTAAATTTTAGATGAGAGAATAGTTCACATAGGTATACTTTGATAGAGTAGGGACTTCATGTACTCGTCCAAGCTTGGAAGATGTTGGTTTTCGTCGTAACAATACATCAAAGGAACCATCCTTGCAATATTCAGGGAAGCCTTGCAGAAGGGCATGGAAAATGATTCTCGGGAAAGACATTGTCGGTTTAGGACTTTCCATGCATCGGAAATCATATCCATAACATGTTGCCTAGCGCTTTCGATCTTGATCCCTTGGTGTTCTTTCATGTAGCAATCGACGTAGGATCCATCGTTCCCGTCTTGGTTCTCATCCTACAATCAATAATATATGTTAAGGTTTATATTTGATGCATTGATAGTGAATCACAAGACCTTACGTTGAAGAATGTATACCTTGGCACTTCCTAAATCATCCCAGAGGCGAAGTATTGCACCAGTGGTGGAGATGATTGATGGATTGTCGATCATTTCGACTTCTCGAACAGTTGAGCCGAGGCCAAGGAGGAAGAAGATGTGAACCAAAACTATATGTACACCGGAGCTAATGATTCCATTCTCCAAATACTCCTTAGCCGTTGGGGACTTCCCTGAACCAAACCATCTTGCTTCTACCAAAAATGCTTGGAACAAGATTTTCCACTGCAATAATCAACACACATCAGTTCCTGTTCATTAATGAATCGAATGCCGATGATTATAAAGGAAAAATACGTACCGCCTTCCTTAACGAGTCGATAGGATTGCGACCATATTTCTTGTGCACCTTTTGGCAAATTTCATTGGTGATATCATCGAGAGCTTTGAGGCATAGTTTGATGTAATCCGGCAGCCCACCACTTGCACCACAATCCCACCTGCATTAATTTATCTTATCCTTTACTTCTTCCATCTTAGGAAAACTAGTATACCTTCGTTTATGAATCAAATATATATATATATATATATATATATATATATATATATATATCTTGTTCGAAGTATCTTATGAATATGTGGATGTGAATGAAGTGAAACACACTCGAAGAATCTTATGA